TTCTGTCCTAACAGCATACCTCTGAACAACTGCTCTTTCCCATTTACCTACATAGAATACCTAAAAAGAATTACATATTTTTACCTACATAGAATCAAATGTAAATGAGAAAATAATTTCTTCCCTTCTGGAATTTCTAAAGTACCTGTTATGTGTTGATAATAAGAGTAACCCTTGTTTTCAAATCCCTAATACCCTAACACAAAATGATGCTGAAAGGGTAGAAAGAATGCAGTTTCCCCTAAAGTTGTCTTACTGAGCAGAGCAGTAAAAGGACATGATGTGCATGCTAAGTCAGAACCACAGCCAAAATAACTGGGCATCAGGCCGTTGCCTTCAGGGAACTTAGACTGACTTACAACTGCTAGAGATCAGTCCCAGAGCAGGCAAAGCACAAACTGCAAAATACAACTCAAGACACTCAGACCACTATGAAACAGGCATTTACAGCTAAGGATTTGGCACAGGTATGACCCTAGTTTATAAAAAAAAAAAAAAAAATTCTTTATAATTTCTTCCTAACTTAATGAATAGGGTTTTGACATGAAAAGGTAAGGCTTTTCTGAAATTGCTTCTCTCAGTGCCAGAACTTCAAACAAATTGTTACCAAACACTAGAATGGGGAATAGGAAAAGAGCTCCTTTACAGTACCAGACAGGAACAACCAACTACACTGAAACTTACTCTTTCTTGCTCACGTTCAAGAACACAAGTGGAAGTCTTTGAGTAGACAGGGGGCAAAAATGGTTAGAGGAAAGAATGAAAACCATCTGCAGATAGACAGCCCTCAATAACTTTTGAAGAATGTATGCAGAAGGAGTTTTTCCATCACTCATTGCAAAGAAAAAGCACAATCACCAACGTAATAGTTCTAAACTCCACAGCTAAGGGAACCACCAGCTCATTTAGAAAAAGGAGAATGTGTTCAGAACAGTAACACAGTATTTATGTTTAAGCTTGGAAAAGAAGTTAACATTACGGTCTCGTAAAAAAGCTTTAGAAAGCTTAGAGACAGAACTCAGTCAAGTACCCTGAAACACCTCTGAAGACTCTGTAGCTGTCGTAAGACTCCCAAGAGGATTACAGTAACACAACAATAGAAGTAATGACAAGTACAAGGTGAAAAAAGACAGAATGCATTCATTAGATAAACACCATGATTGAACACAACACATACGGGTAGTGAGTGTGAGGCTTTCCTTAAAGGAGGGAGAGTTCAGAGTCTCTACAGATGCTTGCAGAGGATGTCATGGTCCCTGCCAAGAATATCACAATGCCGGATTGTCCATGAGGGCCCAGCAGGGAGTGCAGAGGTCACTACCTCAGGCTTGCTGGCAGGGCGCTGTTCTTCTGTACAGATTGTTTATTTCACCTTTGTCAGCGACACTTCCCTGGTGACCTCTCTTCTTTCGTGCAAGAACATTGCATAAGGGAGGTTGAGAGAGGTAAGTCTGTGTCTGTCCTCCTTTGACAAAACTGTGGGGTGGGAACAACAGAACAAAGCTGGATGTGATCTCACTCAGACGCCAGTCCCACAACAAGGTGGGTTTGGACTTCACAGACATTAAGACTGACTGACATCTCTCCTGGCGCTCCAAGCAGTCTATGCAGCTGGACTCGGATGTCATTGTAGAAAAGTGTGGTCCTCTGGGGTCCACGGCCATATCGGAAAATAATGATGTCAGAACCGAGATGGTCAGACAGTACGATAAGGAAATGTCTTTTCATATACTTTCTGGAGCTGTTTCAAAATTAAATGTTTTGCATTGTATCATGTATTCTGATTTTGGACAAACTGATTTGTTTAAGCCAAGAGAGCTGATCAGCTTGGGCATTTAAGCAGATACGTAAGGGCAGAAGTCACAGAACACCACACTTTCACTTATAACTGGCAGAAAGCTTTTGAAATATATCAGGATGAACTGAATATGATGCACACAGGGAGCACTAATGAAATTTAAATAAATGTCATTTAAATTCAGATATTCTTACTATCACTGACCTGCTGCGTATGAAAATACAAGGAAGAGGGATTTATTTGTTATCATGGCATAAAACTGAGTTTTGCAATATATAGATGTGTGGAAATCTCTGTTTGCATGTCAACTGAAAAGAAATATGCCCAGAAGAGTTAATCCTTACAGAACATTTGGTAACCTGAGTTAGGTAAATGAAACCTTACAGCAGGTAACTTACAAAACATCTTTTTAATTTACTGAGGTGAGACACAAGAGCCCTCTTACTTATGCGATATGTTTTTATAATCAACCAGATCTGGTAAAACCTAGGAAATTACAAAGTAAGCTACAAACAGCATGTTAGGGATGACCTGAGGCTGAAAAATAATTACTTGAAACCACTTCATAGTTACTATATTTGCACCCTATATTCCTGTTAAAAATGAAACATTGGCACCACAAGTGAAAGGAGAACTAGAGACACACTTAGAAACAAATTTGGACGGAAAAGTATTTTCATTAGAAAGAAGATCTGTTCTGCTCTCAGAAACAAGAGAGAAAATTGCTCTGAAGCTACTGAAGTCTGAAATACTATGCCTGAAAGAAAAACAGTACCCTGACTTCATTTGTAGGACTCTCTGATTATAATTTTCACACACTGGATTTTTTCCTAAGGACAAAACTAAAAACACAGAACAATTACAGGCAGGACAAACACCTAAAACTAGTTTTGTAAAACAGACCGAGAAATTCCCTTGAGTTCTAGACTCAGTATGACTCAGTATGACCATGTTCACTTCTTTGTTACTGGTTCTAGTTCTCATTCTAATGGCCACTACTCTGCTGTTCAGAAGTGTGAGCGGATGCTTATTTTACAAGCATGTACTGCAAATGGTTTAAAATTTACATCAGTTGTACATCTGACAGCCAGTGTTACTTGGTTCACAGTCAGGACACCTGCATGCGCGTTGGCCTGTGTAACCAGGTCCATCCCACCTAAGGACTTATTAATTTCCAGATTGCAAGGTGTAGAAACACACAAAAGCTGCAAAGTAATGGCTTTAAGTTTCTGTAAAGATATGGTTTAGGAATAGATGTGCTATTTCCTCTTACAGTGTCTTTTATTCCTTGGAAAATCATGAACAAAGGTTAAAACAAAAATTAAGTCCTGTATTATCTTGTAGACTCAGTCAATATTCTGTGACCACAAAAGCAAAACATTTCTATTTTGTTACATGAACAAAGTTTTTTTTAAAAGAGATGAAAGAAATGGTAAGAAATAAACTGAAAGAGCACTTGCAACAATAAAAAATTCATACAGTAACTGTTATAAGAACGTATTCTTTATTTGACAGAGATATGTAATGGCCTGCAGCATTCACTTTAACTAGAGCCAAAGATCACTGGGCCATTGGTTTCTCACCTGGCATCAAGGTTGCCAAGTCAAAGCAACTACAGTTTATTTTTGACCTGTGAAATTGATCTGGTTTCTAGGTGGGTCAGGCTATCACAGGTAGAAAAGAGCAATTTTGAGACTTAACCCTGGGACTCTGGGGAGTTCATTGGCCTGCTATTTCAGATTTTATAACGCATCAGTTTATCTCTGCCAAATAAGAATCTCTAGAATGAAAACATTTGACTGTTGTTAGCTGGTTTTGTACCTGGCAGCCTCTTCAAACTGTATGTCATCCATAGACACTGTCACGCAAGACACACCGGCATGTTTCTCAGCTTCGAAAGAGACACATGGACACACAATTACCACATTGCATTTGCAGCAAGCTATTCACCTATATACTTGTGCATGGAGAGACAGAGATAAAACAGGGTAGATCCCAGTTCTTCTTTTGATTACCCTAATGCAAGTCTCCAGTGGGCCCCTTGGAAAAAAAAGAAGCTGAATGAGATTAATCTTTACCACCAGATAAGGGTAATATCAGGAGATGAGACTAGATGTTGGTAATGATTCTACTCAGTTTGAAAAGCTCTATTTAAGGTCTTTCTCTAAAAACTAACATTCTGGTAAGGGAGCACTAACAAGCATGTTGCAGGGCAAAGAGTCCCAAAGCATTAACAAGCCTACAGAAATCTCAACAATCTCCCTCAAAACAGTGTGTCATGAATATTGGCTATGTTAAACCAGTGTGGAAGTCTGACGTCAGCTGAGGATTCTCAGACACAGGAGGAAGATCTACGGGCTTATTAGCGTGGTCACAGCAGTGAAAAGCAGGTAAGTACATGTCGTCAGTGCTGTACTAAAAACTCGGGAATTAAATAAAACCAAACAAGATTTAAAAAAATCAAACCCAAGTTATTACTTATTGTAAAATATTTTTACCAAAATTTGAACCATGTTCTTCATCTCTCTAGGATGCATTTGGTTATGAAAAATAATGCATGTTATTTGTATTAATTATGAAGGTTAATATCGAAAAGGTAGACATCTTTTTTTCTGTTAATATTTAACAGCCAGTTATCTTCTTACAGCAAGCTACTGTGATTTATTATTTATTTGACCATAGCATCTAGAGTTCCAAGTCAGAGGCTAAATCTCTACCACACTAGGAGCTGTATAAACACAGGAAAGCCCTGCTCCATAAAGCTTCCCAAGTGACAGGGGCAAAAAGGAGGGCTAGCAGGAAACCTAGAAAATAGCACTGCACAACAGGCAGGAGTTCTCGCTCCCAAACAGCCCGATATTTTTAGTGAGCATTGCAAGAAAAAGCTTGGAAGAATTTGAGGAAAGTGCACGTGTTATATGAGTATCTGAGGAGTTCCCTTTGAAAATAAGAGGGTAAAACACATGAAGGCTCTTATCAGAAACATGCCAAACTGTGATGAAAGGGAAGAGGTCACTGATGACTAAGAAGCTGGAGTCCCCACTGTCACAGGTAATGCAAGGTGATGATTAAGATAGTGGTAGTCATAAATAGCCTCAAAAGCAAGGAAGCAGCCAGGTGGATCACATCTAAAGCAGCAGGATATGAAATGAGGAAGGTGCAAACCCCAGGTGCTTGCAACTGCACCAGCTGGCACTAACGAGGGTGAAAGATGGCAAAGGCAAACAAATCCCTGCCTGGCACGTTGAGTTTGCTGTGAGACAAAACGGAAAGCGAGGAAAGGTGCTAAAAATCCTTTGTGTGTGACAGGATTAGCCCTGTGGGGTGAATGACTGCTGCTGCCCTAAACCTAACCAAGTAAAAGCAGTTACGGAAGGTGGATTGAAAGTGAGCTCCAGTGGCAGCTTTGCAGCTGATGAAGCTCATCACAGATTAACTGAAGTCCTGGGAGCAAGGATGAACCATCGTAGCAGCTGAGGCTCTGCGACTTCAGAGCAGGGGCTCAAGTTCAGGGGTTGCTGACATCCATTGGGAGTCTCTCCGCAAAGAGCACTGTTAAGGGGTAAATCACCGGAGAGATGAAATCAAATGGCTCCTTCGTGCTAAAATAGATCTCAAAAAAACCCGTGATGGTAACTGGGAAGTTGCTATATGATAGGTAGTTACTGGGTGACTGTGTGGGACAAGCTCTCCAGGATCCCAACTCCTTCTATATAGGAAAAGTGGATTGCGTAAAGCTGCACCACGTGCAGCACGCACCTACGCGGCGAGCGCACCACGGTCACCGTGTCGCACGGAGACACCATCCAGGCATGAGTTCCCCAAATATACCCGCTGTTCTCTGCAAGGCTCATTATGGGCTGCTAATGTATGCAGCTGTACTTGGAAACAGAGTTCACTGACAGCAGAGGCGGCGGAGCCTTGGGTTTTCTTAGTGCTTTAGATGCGGCTTTCCCTTCCAGGAGTCAGCTGAGGAGATTTTTAAAGTTTTCGAAGCTAAGTTACACCAGACACAGAGTGCTCTGCATCGTGGTTGGATTTGTGGTGTTTTTTTTTTTTTCCCCACCCACGCGTCAATATTCTTAAATTAGTACTTTTCTTTCTCCTAGTATTCCTCTCTTTTCCCATCCCCTTTTTTCCCCCCGCGGCTCTCTTCTGATCCTCCCCACCCTCACCGCCCGTCGCCCCTTCTTCGCTCTCCCCCGAGGTCTGACGCTCCTCTCCAGCCCCACAAGCTTTCTCACTCCCTCGATGCCTATTCCTAACCTGAACCCCCACACCTCACACGCTCCCCCCGCCTGAAACCTTCCCTCAAGCCCTCCGCAACCTCCCCACGGGCAAAATTTCCCCTCCTGTCATCTGCAAATGTCGGGACGGGGCTACCGGTTTTCAGGGAAGGAGACGCCGAGGAGTTTAAGGCGCATTCCTGAGGGGAAGCGGGTGGGGGGGCACAGAGCGGCCCCCAGGGCAGGGAGGCGACGGCGCTTCCCGCCACCGCGCTGAGGCGACGCCGCTTCGCGCCACCGCCCTGAG